TCTTAAATACAAATGGTGTGTAAATAATGCAATACTTGATTTAGTAATGAAAAATAAATCATTAACTAAGTATGAAAGTACACTCATTAAGCACATTATATAGCTGCTTATAAGTCAAGAATAGAGAATTTTTAGATGCAGTTATAAACTGCTTACTAACGCTTATTAATGTGGAGTTAATGCTTAACAGAAAATGAATTCACTATTTGCTAATGCTTAATAAATGATTTATAATGTGTAGCTATTATAAAGTGTTACCCAATATTTTTTGCTTGTCTAAAAATGCTTCTTGATTTAGATTATTTGGACTAGAAAAAAGACAAAACCTCAAAGTAAGAATTTATATATATTTTTTTTACATTGTGGAAGTGTCAGCTCAATTCCTCTGTGCAGCTTTTTGAACGTTTTAATGGTAACCTCCTAGATGAGCCCTATTGAGTGCCCTCTTGTGGATTCGTAAGAAAATCATCCCCCTGAGGGCTTCCGCACTTAACACCTAAGATGAAAAGCGCAGGCTGAGAGTGTCTCGCATCACACCGGCTGTGTTTTAAGAGTCTTGGCACTTATGGGCCTTGCCCTTGAGTACAGTTTGAGCGTTTGCACCGCGTGCAGGTGTGCGGTCTGTTCATCTGGCAAGTGTTGGGGAAGGAATGACTCACTGCACATACTCTGAAGTGACTCATCCTGCGTCGTCTCTCCCTACATCACTCCACCCCTTTCTTTTTTTTTATCTTATTTGAAGGAGTGTTGTTACTTCGACAACTGTGATAAATCGTAGCCTTCATCTGACCCTTTCCTCTGTTTTTTCTTCCTTTTCCATCTCTTGTTGTTGTTCCGTTCTTTGTTTTGCTTGTATCAATCTGTACACCTGTCACTGGTATGTTTGTCTGCTTTCACTGCCTCCATCAGTAATGTAAACCATGGTATTATTAGGCCTGGGTGAATGGCAGGGTATACAGTGTGTGGCGAAAGACATGTATCAGCTGACAAAGATTCAGTCTACTTAAAAAAAGGTTTTAGTTCAAACAGTATTGAATGCATCAAAATCCTGTTTTAGTGGTTTTATATTTATAGTTTAATACCTTTGAGAGTTATTAAATTTAACACAAGTCCATGATCTTCCAAAGAAACCTCCACAGAAAAATAATAAGCCTCCTGTCAAATACACTTTTTGCTAATGTTTTTACAGAGCAAGGAAACTTTTACAGTATTTCCCAACCCAAGCTCATTCTGAAAACGTTTCTGGAGACCGCGATTTACGTGGCCGGAGGTACTTAAAGGCCGCGTTTAGTTTTTTTCGAGCGAACGCTGCGGGGCGGTGTGGCGCCGCTTCGCCCCTTCTCTTCGCGTTAGCCGGCTGACGGCTCGCCTCCGAGTGGAGGGCTTTCCCGATGCAATAAGTTTGTCCGCTTAGCTCACAGCGTTGCGTCGGCGGAGCGTAGGCCCCGGACGAGGAGGAGGAGGAGCCGGCCGCAGTGGACTACGACCGGGATCGAGTCCGGGGAACAGCAGGTTCCGGAAATCAGGTAAGACGAAAAACGGAATCCGAAAAATAAGGGCGAGAACGCGGCGGGATCTGAAAACGAGGTCGAAATCGAAGACGAGGGCTTTTGCTTTTTTTTTTTTGCTTTTTCTGGACGGCTTTTGTGAATCGTCGCTCGGGTTTAGGGAAGGAGGAGGAGGAAGAGGAGGACGGCCGAGTCGGCCGATCTAGCGGCTTTTTGCGCGAGAACGGCGCGGGCGCGAACGGCGCGCGCTCCCGAGAGGCGCCCGAGACGCTAAAAAATCGTGCACAGCGGCCTCTCGCGGATCCGCGGAAAATAAAAAACGCTCGAATACGTACCTCCCGGGACGTAAATCGCGGTTCGCAGAAACGTCCGCGGGGCTACGTTTCCACAATGAGCCCGGGTTGGTATTTCCTATTGTATTTTTTCTTCTCTACAAGTTCTTATCTCTTTTATTTCAGCTTTCAAAAAAGTAAGGTCATATAATTATTTTATGAGCCCCCTACAAAACTTTTTTTGATTACAGAACAAACCACGATCTATTTTGCACTATAAACGGTTATATTTTGGTTTAAGGGGTCTCCAACAACAGTCTGATATGCATGCAAGGTTAAAAACCATTTTCATTGTCTTATAATGTGCATTTATTTTTACCTAATTATCCCAACGACTCCCATATGATTCGTTCAGCGATTCATTTGTTCCCAAACCCCTCCTTAGCGCGAAGCTAATCTGCACTGATTGGACCGATGACCCAGTCTTTTGTGATTGGTCGACTGCGTTCAGCGCGAGACAGAAAAAAAAATCATCCACTATGACTTATCAACAATTTTAAAGTAGTCAGAGTGCAGAGTGTATGTGTGAGCCCAATGCAGGAGTGCATGAAAGCAATGCAGTTAAACACCAGCATATTACTCTACTCTCAATGCTAACCTGAACGACATACATTCAGTGTTAATCCACACAGTGGCAAAAGTTGAACTATTTTGGAAATTGTCTGTGCCGTGCGTGTGACGAACAGCTGATAGTGGCCATGGTAAAGACAAACGGCAGAGGATCATGAGCTCAGAAACGCATTTAAATTAGTGAAGGGCGAAGCACGTGTCACGTTTTCAACGTGGTTTTGTAAAAAATATTTGAATAGCCCCGTGAAGGTTTAATCTGAAAGATACAGTACTGGCACTGATCAATAATAAATAAGTGATTTCAAGCCGCACGGGGAGATTACAACTTATAACACACAATTAAATACATATTTTGCAAACTACACAAAACAAGGCATTTTAATGACACATGTTATGGTTTAGAGGAAGAAGAAACTAGTCTATATGAACTGTAACAGCTACTGACAAAGTCCTATACATAATAGTCTCTGCTGCTTCTTCCTTTAATTACAATCAGCCGGCAAATCCGGCATTGCAGCGTAGGTCATTGAATTAAAAATCTGAAAAATGATAGTTGTTGAATGAAAAATGAATGATGTTGCCCGCTTGCTTAAAAACTAATATCAATGTAAACAATAAGACATCTTTTTTATTTTGATGAGATGTCAATATACTCAAAATAACACAATTTTATTTGTAATTAGTATTTTCAACAACAAAAAAGATTACTGATGTGCGAACAGGAGCTCCAAAGTAACATCTAAAAATTGAAATATTAGGTTAAAATGTTCATGAAACGTTCATGACAATCATTTGCAGTTGCATTTGGTGTTTTTAGTGTCCCACACACACACTGCCTTGTTCCTATACCCCAGTGGAGACTCCCATAGATGTAATCATGTTTCTACTATGCAAATCATATATTCTATCCCCTACCCTAACCCTAATGAGGTTTGTACTGTTAACCTTATTTTTCATGTACAAGCAGGCGCAGCCATTGGAATAATTTTGGCTCGAGACATTCAGTCTCATTGACTTCCATTGAGTTTTAGACACAAAAAAGATAACTGCTTGATGTAGCAAACTCATGTTATCTTATTATATTCTTCTACTTTTTATGTATAGTCATGAACATGCTTGTTTGTATGGAAAATGCAAATAAAAAAGAAAGTAATGATTTCTAAATTTACTTTGACTTGTATTTCATTGCAAACAATATGAACACAACATATTTCTTGTTTTGTCTGGTCAGATTTATTTTATTTGTAAGTACAATATTCCTGTCATTCTGACCTGCAACACATTCCAAAAAAAGTTGGGACAGGAAAGATTCAAGGAATCTGGAGGAATTTTAGTGCGTCAAGAAAAAGGGCGCAAGCCTAAGCTGAACAAACCGTGATCTCTGAACACTCAGGCTGCACAGCATCAAGAATCATCATTTATCTATAAGCGATATCACCACGTGAACTCCGGATTACTGTGGCAAACCTTTGTCAAGTACTACAATTTGTAGTTACATCCACAAATGCCAGTGAAAACCTGTACCAAAAGGATGCCTTACGTTAACAGTGTCCAGAAGCAACATCAACTTTTCTGGTGGCATCTGGGATGGACCATTACACAGTGAAAACATGTACTGTGGTCAGATGAATCAGTATTTCAGGTATTCTTTGGGAGAAATGGACGCCGTATGCTCTGGAACAAAGAGGAAAAGGATCAACCAGACTGTTCCCAGCCACAAGTCCAAAAGCTAGGGTTTGTCATGGTATGGGGTTGTGTCAGTGCTCTTGGCAAAGGTAACTTGCACTTCTGTGATGGCACCATTAATGCTGAAAAGTACATGGGGATTTTGGAGCACGATATGCTGCCTTTTTTTCCAGGGATGTCTTGCATATTTCAACAAGACCACATGCTGCACACAATAAAAGTCCTGGCTGTGGAGGAAGAGGATACAGATACTTGACTGGCCTGTCTGCAGTCCTGTCCTGTCTCCAATAGAGAATGTGTGTTGCATTTTGAAGAACAAAAGTCCCCATACTGTTACCCACCTTAAGACAAGACTTGTTTGCAGGAAGAATTGGACAAAATTACACTTGAAACACTTCATCACTTCATCATAGGGTGCTGTGAAAAGGAATGACAACATTACAAAGTGGCTCTAGTGTTCCAACTTTTTAAAAATGGTGCAATAACCAAAACTAGAATTTGTGTTTATTTTGACAAAAATAACAACAATAAAAATCATGAGAAACACAATAAATAATGCTTGTTTTATTGTCTGCAATGAAATAAAAGTCACTGTTAATTTTGAAATCACTACTTTCTTTTTTATTTGCGTTTTCCATACTGTGCCAACTTTTTTTCATTTTGCGTTGCACTACACAAACAGTATGCTCTGTCCCCTACCCTTACCCCTACCCTTACCCTAAATCCAGCCCTCACTTTTATCTGCACTTTTACACTTTTTTTGGACACTTTTACAACACCAAGTCCCCACAAGTCTGTGTGCATACAAGTTTAAGTCCCCATCAGGGTATAAAAATAAGTACACACACAAGCATTCTCCTTCTCTTTGTAAACTCAATTTCTTTTCTTTTTTTCTTGTTCTCAGGCTGAAGCTCTGACTCCGGCACTGCAGGCGGAGATGGATGTAAAGGAGGCCATTCAGCTCCAGCAAGCCGAGAACGGAGAGGTGGTTCAGATCCAGATGCCAGGCACTTGAGTCGCTCGCAAAAACGTAAAAAACGATGATATTCGGCTCTAGCGCCAGTGAGACGGCCAAACCGAGGAGCGCGGCCAATCAAACTCACATTCAAAACCCAAACCACCACCGTCAGTCAACAACTATTGACTAGCTCCAACTAAAACAAAGGCAATTTGTCGTAATTTGTCAGTTCGTTTGGAAAACACTGGTCTTCCTGCACCAGTCGAAACCATCCGGGCTGGTTAGTAATGATTAAGCAATGCTAGCTTTTCTCTTCGGGTCAATCTGAAGTAAGTCATACGCAAAGATTGAGCTTGTTTACTTAGAGATTTGAGCAGGCATTTTCTTAAACTACCCATGTATCCCCAATGTGAGCGTTACACCTAGTAGACTTTGCTTATCCAGTTTGATGAATTCGCAGGACAGTAATATTAGCTTCGGTTCATAATCCAAGACTTTTCCGTTATACTATCCTATTTTTTTTGGTGTGTGTGAGTGTGTTTGTATTGGTGAAGATCTAGGGGTATTATTAAGGGCTGCCCCTGTTTCATTTATCAATAATCAATTTGTTTTCATAATAATGGTTAGTCGAAATATTATTATCTTTTGTTTTGTTTTGTATAGCTTTATTGTACAGAACAAAAAAAAAAATACTACTGAAAGTTTTGTGGAGCTTTTGTAGAGCAGTTTACTAATACACAGGATAAATACGATGACGGTGCAACTGTGTTAATGTAGTATATGAAATATGTACCTTTTCTTATAAATATATATATTTGTGTATGAAGGACTTGTTCAAATTGAATAAATGACCCTTGTTTCCACATGTGGTTGTCTGAGTAGCAAATAAAAGCAGCTTTACGTTTGCCTGATAAACGAGTAGAGGAGAGCAGGGATGAAAGTAACTTGGGGCGAAAGAGCCCTGACAGCATTTGCTTACCAGGCTGTAACAGCACATTCGTCATGCAACCCTTGATGGAGCTGCCAAATATCATGTGATTTCAGGCCCGTGTCCTGTGGTTAGCTCCGAATTTCAGCTTTTAAGTGCAAAAATACACTCATCGCCCACTTTATTAGGCACACCTGTCCAACTGCTCGTTAACGCAAATTTCTAATTAGCCAATCACAAGACACCAACAACTCAATGCATTTACGCATGTAGACTTGGTCAAAAGGATCTGCTGCAGTTCAAACCGAGCTTGCCACTCCTGTAAGCTAAGAACAGGAAACTGAGACTACAATTCACACAGGCTCACCAAAATTGAACAATGGAAGATTGGAAAAATGTTGCCTAGTTTGATGAGTCTCGATTTCTACTGCGACATTCGGATGTTAGGATCAGAATTTGGCATCAACATTAAGGCAGTTCGGAATGCAAAATGTTAATATATGTTAATAAAGTGTATGCTTTACTAAAAAGATAGGTCTTTAATGTAGTTTTGAACTGACAAGAGTGTGTCTGAGTCATTTCAGGTAGGTATTGCAGAGTTTAGGAGCCATAAATGAGAAGACTCAACCTCCTTTAGTAGACTTTGTTATTCTGGGTACTACCAGAAGCCCTGAGTTTTGAGATCTTAAAGTGCAGGTTGGATTGTAGCGAGACAGAAAGTTGGTTCGATAAACAGGAGCTAGATTATTTAAAGCAGGGGTGTCAAGCGTACGGCCTGCGGGTAGGATCAGGTCCGCAAACAAATTTAATGCGGCCAACGAGAGGATTCTGTGAGCTGCAATTTCTCTATAAAATATTCTGCTGTTGCAATTGTGTCCACTGGATGGCGCATTAGCAAACTGTATTTTTAACCAATCCAGAAGCCTGAATCAGTGTTAGTTTGACAGCCTTGCTTTATTTAAATAATGTCTAGTAATTATTATAATACTTAGCAGTAATGTCTATTTTTATTTATTTTTTGTGTTATTTATTTCTTATTTGCTGTATATTTTATTAATTAAATTATGTTAATATATTACATACGACAATACTGTAAATGTCATTCTAATATAGCAACTTTAGAGAGAGAGAGAGAGAGAAAGAGAGAGAACGCCTTTAACCTGTCAGTGGGTGCACATGGCTCCTAAATAGCATAAAAGTAAAAGAAATAGTGGATTTCTATTATTTCAACAGCCTTTAAAAAAAATTAACCCATTGAAAAGAAAAGGTGTATAATAGTGTCATAATAAAAAAAAAAACAAGTTAAAAATGTGGTGAAAAGGTGTTTTTCAATCCGGCTACCACCGCAAGTATATTTCAAACCTGTGGGAAGCACTGCACATTGAGCTGATCTCATAAGGAAATATTTAAAATATTTTACGTTATGTTAGTTTAGTGGTATGAAAATGTAAAGCCCCCCCCCCCCAACCCCCCTGATTTAAAGCTCATAAAAAGTAATATTTTAAAATCAATATGAAACTTACAGGCAGCCAGTGTAAGGAGGATAAAATTGGGGTGATATGATCATATTTTCTAGGCCTAGTAAGAACTGAAGTTTGTTAATAGAGGATGCTGGGCAACCAGCAAACAGAGGATTACAGTAATCTAGCCTAGAAGTCATAAAAGCATGAACTAGCTTTTCTGCATCTGAGATGGATAGCATACTTTGTAACTTATCGATATTTCTTAGATGAAAGAAGGTGGTTTTTATGACATGGGAGATGTGATTTTTAAAAGTTAAGTTGCTGTCTAATATAACACCCAGATTTTCTGATTTTTCTTATAGATTTATTACTACAAACTTTAACCTTAAATGAGTAGTTCACCCAAAGCTCAAATGAAAGCTCTGTGATATTTACTTTTTTTTCCCTACTCGACAGAAGTTAAAAATGTTAAAACTATTAACCGTTTACATCTATGGTGTTTGTTTTTCCTACCATGTAGGTCAATGGTTACAGATTTATAAAATTTTCAAAGTATCTTCTTTTGTGTTAAAAAACTTATAAAGTTATGGAAAAGTTTTTGGCTGAACTATACCTTAAAATCTGCTATTATTTTAACATCACAACAGAAATTGTACCATAAACATGCTAAATTATGTATAACTTTCTAACAAAAATCCAACATTTTTATATTACTCTATTAAAACTTGTAGAACTTGTTACATTCAAACTGTAAGTTGAGGATCTGCACAAAATATTCAATAATGTCAATATTGTAGCCTAATAAGAATCATATATTTTAAGCAAACCAAACTGATACTCTTGGGTTTTGTCAGGTTTTCACTTTCAGAATTTTTTCACTTTTAAGTTGGTTGAAATTCTAAAGAGAACCATAAATGTAAATTGCAATATAATCAAATATGTTGGTTAATTACGGCTTTCTCTATTCTAGCAAGCCACGAGAACACATTTAGCACACAGTTCGCACACTTTAGTTTAGTTTTCCGGCAACGGCCCATATACTGCACAGAATTCAGAGCCAATCCGTTCCAAAAAAAAGCCATTATGCTCAAACATTATTGCAGATTAAGTGTCGGTGTTGATTTTGTACTGAGCCACTGAACGGTCATCGCTTGCATTGCGCTTTAATGATTGAAATCTAACGATTTGGATTGATTAGAAGCAAGGGGCGATGCTTTTAGTTGCTATGTTTCTTTTATATTTATATGATCTGCTTCAGTTGACCAGAACACCATAGTGAGAATCACTGAATTGTTTCTGGTGTCTTAGATAACCACATATTCTCTCTAGAGCCCCCCAAAAACTCCTACTCAGACCTCCTCGCCTCTATTGGGACCAAGTCCAACTCTCCCTTACTCTGTGTATTTAAAAAAACAAACACACATGGAATATCCCAGATCTTAACCGTCTGGACTTTTTAAGGTCACGGGGAAGCTACAAGATGCACTTTGTGAGTTGCGAACTCATCCTCTCCCGCTTCTGTTGCTTTTCGTAATACAGTTTGCATCATTAGGGCTGGGCTGAGGATAATACAAAACGTTTTTCCCACGCACGCTGTAGCATAATGGTGTATTTTGGATGGCGCACAGCAAGCGACTAGCATCAATGCTGATAAAAACATATCTGTTTCCTTTTGTTTTCCTTTAGTCTCAAAATCTCCAATTACCCGTCTTCTGTAAGCCATCCATCTATTACTCTTAAAGAAACATTACTCTTTTTTGGGAAATAGAGCTCTCCTAGAGTTAAACAGTTGAGTTTTACCAATTTTGAATCCATTCAGACGATCTCCGGGTCTGGTTGGACCACTTTTAGCTTAGCTTAGCTTAGCATAGATCTTTGATTCGGATTAGACCGTTAGCATCTCCCTCAAAAAAGGGGCACAATGATATTATGAAGCGCTGTTATGTGATGTTACATTGTCAGGTTCTGCATTATATCATTGCACCTGCTGCAGCCATGGTACTGCAGCAAAGGTCCTTGATTCTTACGCCGGAATGAAAGTATAGTTCCTGTTATTATTGACCTGGAAAATAACAACTTTACATTTTACATTTGTCTTAGTGCATGATTTAACTAAAGAAGAGTCTGGTTTAAATTATCAAAATTATTTTTAAGATGCTAATGGTCTAATCTGAATCAATGATTTATGCTAAGCTAAGCTAAAAGTGCTCCCACATGACTTGCATATCGGCTAAATGCATTCGAAAAATGGCAACTAGGGGAGTTTCCAAAAAAAGCGGAGTGTTTCTTTAAGAAATCCATCGCTTACATCATCGTTTCCCCCGGTTTCTGTTTTTCTCACTTGTTCTCATCCTCCCACTCGTTTCTAGGGTCATGTCTGGTGATTTTTTATTTATTTTTGCTTCTTTGTTACCAGTCTGTTTTGGTCTTGTCAAAGCTTGGATTGCAGAGTCTCCATAGCCCTCCTGAAATCCAACTCTGACTCCCTTTTCTCTAATAAGACCGAGACGGCATCTCCCCCATTTCAGAAGATGGATGAAAAACCCCAGAATGTAAGAACGTAAGTCCTACAGGCTTTAGATTTAGACTGGGATTGTTGTTATAGTGAAAAATTGGGTTCGTACTTTCTGCTTTCATACCCTCATCATATTTGTCTTCACGCTTCACGCCAAATATTATGACCAAAGAAGTGAATATCATTGATCATTGATCAGGCCATGTATTAAACATGCTGTATGTAATGCTATTCTAATTAAGTCACTTATCACTAAAACTTGACAAAATTCTTGTCGCCTTTCCAAATTTTAGGAACCACAAAAAATATCTTGACTTCTAGTTGATCAATCGGTATCAAAAGTGGCTGACATGAAAGGCAAAGGCCTCGAGATTACGCTTATTTTACCAAAATAAAATATGATCATGTCTTAATTTTAAATTATTGAATGAGGACAGTAAAATCTGGCTTTGCTTAGACAAAAGTCTTATCACTTAACAGAAATAATGTACGGTATAAAATATAAAGTCATGCTGCAATGGGAAAAGTTAATATTGTGTAAGACTCCCATGAGCCTAAATGACTGCATCTATACATCTCTGCAATGATTCAAATCACTTATTAACGAAGTCATCCGGAATGGCAAAGAAAGCATTTGCGCAGAACTCTCAGAGTTCATCAAGATTGCTTAATCTTGATCAGTGGTATGTTTAAATCTGTGTATGTTTGAGAGATAGAGCCAACTTAAGACAAAAGTTTAAAAAACAAATAAGATCTGGCTACTTTACAGGTAAGTAATTAGCTGAAGTTAGCTGATGGCTACTTGTACAAATATTATAAGTAAATTCAACACAACTGTGATAATCATTGTGATGACAGTTTAAGACAAACGGGTAAGCAAAGCTGTGGCAACCGTCATGGAAAAAATTCAAACACAAAATGCGTTTTGATGATACAAGAAAACTGAGAAAAACTAACT